CAGTATTGTTATTCATTTCAGGCATACCTATAATTATTCATCTTTTTATATAAATATAAATGCTCAATTTTTGGTGCATATCATTTTTTATATTCTAATAAATAGTTTTACCTACTGTGGATTGTATAAACATTGGTATCAAGAGGATTACGTATGTGAGCCAGATGTTCTTTCCACGCATCACTGAAGACAACCACATCATCCAAATACATGGCACACCCCTCCAACCCAGACACAACCATGTTCATGAGATGCTGGAAAGTTGCTGGTGCATTGCGCAAGTCAAAACTCATAACAGAGTAAGAAAACAGACCAATGGGATTTATAAAGGCAGAAATCTCACTAACTCTCTCAGACAATGGAACTTGCCAATAACACTTCAATAAATCAAACTTGCTGACAAACTGAGCTGAACCAACCTGATCAACACAATCTTCCATCTGTGGCATAGGGTAAGCATCAGGTTTTGTAACCATGTTCACTTTCCGATATTGAGTACAAAATCTAAAACTTTTGTCATCCTTCTCCACCAACCAACAAGGTGATGCCCAGCTAGATGCAGAGGGTTTAGCAATACCATTATCAAGCATGTACCGAATCTCCCCATCCATGACCTTCCGCTTTTCTTCAGATATTCTATAAAAGCGTGGCCGTATTGACTGAGCCTCACCTACATCAATATCATGTTGGATTAAGTGAGTTTGACGGGGCAAATCACCAAACAAACAATGATATTCATTCAACACAGCACTCAGCTCAGCACTCACCTCCTGAGACAAGTGTGCAATTAAAGAATCCAGATTCCTCAGTGCATCTGAATTTTTCAGCCAGCCAGTCAACAAACTCTCACTTGGTCGTATTACCCCATCGTTCTCAAGTGCAGACAAGAAACTCAAACCACCCACTGTAGTAGCTACTCTCAACCTGCGGCTCTTCTCCTATAATGGCAGATATTTGTGAATCCCGAGCGTAATATGGTTTCAATAAATTCACATGGCAAAGTTGTGTTGACTCCCTTGGCGTTGACAGCAGATAGTTCTGATCCGACAGCTTGTGCAGGACTGTAAATGGGCCTGCAAATTTAGCATAAAAGGGGGCGCTCACAATTGGTAACAATGTGNTATAATGTTACAGTTCATATTTCCCCCTTTTCTTTTACAAACAAATGATTTGACTTATTTACTTACTGTTAGTTTTATACGCTTTCTAACCATTAAAGCTCGGACGGGCTGAGCCGTAGTTCTCTGAGCGCACAGCACCATCTGTATCGGGAGCTCATTAGTGCATGCGCAAGCTAATGTCGGGTAGGGGAGGGGGAGATTAGGAGGACTACAGTGTGTGAGAAGGAGAGCGGCTGCTTTACTGGGTGCATAATGGGGGGAAACGCTAAACCCATGCTACTACCATTTACACTGGCCAGTGGGGGGGCCAGGGCATAGCCAGGGGTGGCCGTGGCCACCATCGGCCACCCCCTGGTGGCGCCCTTGATCCTCAATGTCCAAATTATTATCATCTATATTTGGGTCAAGATACAACGACAACATAAAAAAACTAGAAGTAAAACATTTATTTTCTGAAATGTGTTTATTTTCATTTTCTTTCTTGTAGCATTTTGATCCAGTTAGACTTATTGTCCCACCCATGGATGTTCTTGTTTTCTAGTGTTTATTGTTGTATCCTCTTCTCGTTTAGCATGTTTATTGTGAAAATAAGGTTAAAAAAGGGAGCTCAGATGCCTGTGCTGAAGAAAACACCTTTCAGATATAATTATCAAAATAATTCAGACTTTAGTGTATATGTTTAGATACAAAAGTGTTTATTGTTGCAGTTTTTAGCAATGAGATTTCAAATACAGGGATTGGTCCAGTCACTTTTAATGTCTCCATCAGGATGTGAGGCTCAGGTACTCTCCCAACTCTCCAGTTTTTACATGGCCTAGAGGAGCTCAGGGTTTAGTGTGAATAACAGGACTGCCCTCTTTCATCAGC